TGTGGCAAAAGCAGAATCTCGCAAGAAGATAAAGAAGTAAACTTGAGCCGACCTTTTTCTCCAATATCTCATTCTCCACTTCATCTTCGTATTTTGATCCCCTTCGCAAGGCCAAGACAAGCTGGGATACCAAGTTTAAAGGTACCGGAATCGGATGGTTGTCCCTGTAGGTACGAATTGTTACCGCTCTCTTGAAAGACCACTCCTTCAAAGAGTTGTTCTAGGGAAATGAAGATATTAATCACATCCTCAATCAGGGAACTTTTTTCAAGGAAAAACATGCATCGATAAAAATAATCTCAGCAACAATGAAATAATCCACCCAAATCAAAACTCGTCCAAAGCCTCTGTCCTACACTCGCTCGCTGAATCAAACCAAAAGAACATCTATACCCGAATAGATCTTCTCCTCACACGGCAAACAAACTTCGTCTTATGTGCAATAGTACCAATTGGAACAGTTTCATAGAAACTGAAATTGAATGAGGAGAATCATTTGTTTTTTACTGGCAGTCTCTTTTAATTAAAAATATCTCGTCATACCTGGACTCTTTCGTATGTACTGGAGAGGACAGCAATCATCATATTGACAAGGAGGATTAGAGCGAAAATAATGAATACTGCATACAAAGTTTGAGCCAGATAATCTGAAGCAGTTTCCATGCCACCGTTGAACTGTTCCAAGTCTGTCACGCCCAGCAACGTCCAGCAAAGATGCTTGATAATTACCCACCAACTAAACAAAAATCAAGTTTCAAGTTCACGAAGAAGAAATATTTTCCCATGTATGTTCACAACACCCAAATTACCGCTTTATTTTGCAAAAGACGGTGAAAAGTGTTCACGGAGTAAAAGCAAGAGATTCTGATAATAAAATATTTCTTTAATCTGGCAGACATTTTAAATTACCAGTGTATTCCAGAGCTGCTACACTGCATATTGCCCCTGGAAAATAAAAGGAGAGGGGTCAAAATCGAGTCAGAAATGAAGCCTAAATTAACACAATATGCTAACTAAGGAACATCAGCAGGACTTGCTTCAGACTCAATCTAAAGGGTGAAAAGGTGTACGTGGTGGCCAAAACAGATGCCTTCTAAAGTGTGAGTGGCCGCTACTAAAGTGTCTTTACAGAGATAGAACTTTGTGGCGTTACTATGTGGTAATTTATTTTTATGAAGCAAAAATCACAACGCAACTATGAGCTTGCGAAACGACCAGCTCGTACTGACCCTTTGCCGTCTAGTTTCTCTTCACTTGAAAAAAATGATCCCTCGGCAAGATATATTTTGCTCATTGCCAGAGAAAACGCAAGAATTCCAACCAGAAATTGGAAGAAAATTGTCGCCACATCTTCAATGATGCTCATTAGAGCTATGTGTGTCGTGCCGGTCACCTTGCTCGCCTCCATCAAATGGCCAAATACCCT